CAGCCCAGAGCCCTGCCCCACTCCTGCATCCCAACCTGCTACCCCAGAGCCCTCTCCCATATACTGAACTCCTCATTCCTGGCCCCACCCCACAAACATATATTGAGGAGATATATATACACACATACAGAGAGCATAAACAGGTGGGAGTTGTCTTACCAACTCTGAGAGGCCAATTAATTAAGAGAAAAAAACTTTTGAAGTGATAATCAAGCTAGCCCAGTACAGACAGTTTAATAAGAAGTGTGAGAATACTTACAAGGGGAGATAGATTCAATGTTTGTAATGGCTCAGCCATTCCCAGTCCTTATTCAAACCGGAGTTGATTGTGTCTAGTTTGCATATCAATTCTAGCTCAGCAGTCTCTCGTTGGAGTCTGTTTTTGAAGTTTTTCTGTTGTAATATAGCCAACCGCAGGTCTGTCACTGAAAGGAAAGAGAGTAGTGGATCCCAGGAGTCTAAAGGTACTTGCAGGACTCCACAGCTCCTCCTGCAAAAGGTCTTTTCTTCAGGACAAATCTAGAGCGTAAAACCTTGCTGAAGAATGTAGGAAAGGTACACCCATAATAGCAATACACTGGTCCCAAACTAAGCATGTGCCTGTCACGAGTGGATGTACTGAGGCAGGTATCACTTGTTTGTCATGTCAAGAAAATAACAAAACAGGGCCCATCAAGTACACAAGACATGGATGGAACTCAACATAAAGTGTAGTGATTAGAATTCTAAGGACAGAAGATGGTTTTTGTTTATACCCATCTATGATTTCTAAGCAACTCAGAACCAGCTCACATTTTACCCATGTAAATAGCTCATTTCCCAGTCTGGGTCTCAACTATTATTATTATTCTAGTGCCTAAAATTGTGCTAGATGCCTCACAAAACTAAATCCCTGCCCTGAAGATTGTTCAGTTTAAACTTGACATAACACAACTAGTTAAAGTCATGTAAAATCCTACCTGTGCCTAAAGTAAAAGAGAAATCACTGAGCATAGAAGGCATTCCCCTCATCTTGTTATAAAATTGTGATAAAATTTGCTTCTTGGCACTAGGGGATCGGTTAATAAAAGATAGGTGTATATGGTTTAGCTCGTTAATATTTTTGTATACCTTTATCCTTTGAAATAAAGCCCAGGAGATCATTTGGGACCTTCATCATTAAACTTCACATAAAATACATGCACTCATTATTTCAGTCATATGAGATTACCTGAAATTACAGACATCCCAGACTTTTCACCAATAAGTGTTTACAGACCAAAAGCTGATAATAGATCTGAATTAACTAGGTATCAGAAGATGAACTGAAAAGTACATCACTACATGTTATTACTGTTGTTGCTAAAGTTTATTGTTCCAATCTACAGTACTTAAGACTTCTACGAACATTAGGATAGGGAGATCAGTCTACAAATATATTAGTTCATGATTCCATAAAATGTTTCATTTACCCATGTAAAAGGGAAACAATTGGTTTCTTCTCAATTCATGTATTGAGAATTAGAATATTGGAAATATGAAGATGAAGAGTAATTTATTGTAATGCCACTAGAGGGTATTTACCTTTTGTAGCCCTGGCTTGACATGGGTATTGGACATGGCAAGGCCTAATTTCTTGGGAGACTCGATTGGGGAGGTAAATGGATCAGCAGTTGGAAACAGAATGTCTGTACTAGATAAGATAAGGGGGAACACCCAAGGAACTATTTTGAATGGACAAGATAAAAATGGATGAGATAAATTAGGAATGTAAAGATGAGGTAAAGCATCAGTTGTGCATGGGCAGTGCATGTGTAACTCATGCCTACTTGCTGTGGTACTCTGTCCCCCTCTAGTGGCACCTAGACCATTTAGAGATTGATAAGTCCACTACAGCCTTGGCTCAGAGCCATGTGGTTTTTAGCTCATGTAGTAGAGGCTCATACACTAAGCTTCAGATGTCCCAGGTTTGATCCCATCTGCCAAGGACTGGGATCTGTGGGCGTTACACATGCTGTACAGAAATTGGTTCCTACAGAATAACCAAGCCAAGCCCAAAACATGTGATGCAATGTATAGTCAATGCAACACAATGTGTAAATGTAATTGAAGGAAGAGGTTTGCAATGTAACTCTGGATGTGTGGTATGCCCATGCCCCTCCCCCCCATGCTTGAGTCTAACCAACTCAGCATAGCTTTGCTCTCTGCCAAATTAAGGAGCCTGAGTGATGAGACTGGAGTCGAACGGAGTTCTTAGGGAACCGAATGGAAGAGGTCTTGGGGGGACCCCAACACCTTTGCGCAGAGAGTGAAGTCCAGATTGATACCAGTCCCAGTGTAATTTTGTTTCTGTAATGCTCACATTTCCTAGGGTTGCACTCTGTGGTTTTTCCCCCAAACATTTTCTGTTAGTTTATTTGATGAGTGTTTGAATGTTGTCTGTGTATGTTCAGAGAGGGTGGCTGCCAGAGGAAAGAAGAATAAGAACATTAGACACAGGATCTGCTTCTGTATTGTCTTGCACGGTGTGTCATCATTTAAACCTGGACAAAGTGGGTATAAAGTGCTGCCATTTGGATGTGGTAGCAGTTTACACTCATTTGTGCTCCCTTTAGGCAGGTGTGAATGCCAACACCACGTGTAAGGGGTGGGCAAATCATGCCCACGTAGCCCAAACAGAACTTCCTATAACCAGAAGAAGAGTAGGAGACCCACTGAAGTCCACTGGGGACCTTGCAACACAGATCTAATTTACTTCGAAAACAGTCAGATACTTTGGTGATAGTCCCAACACGGACCCCCAAAAAGAAATAGATGGATGGGGTTAGATTTATGTAGAAAGATAGGCCATATTTTTTTAAATGGGTGCTGAAAGTCAGGCTTCTAAGATTGTATTTAGGCATCTAAATGAGTGGCCTGATATTCAAAGGTGCTGAGCGCCCACCAGCTTCCACTGACAATGAGTTTTTCCTGATTCAGGAGAAAGTAAGGGGGACTGCAGGCTTTGGCCTCATATTAAGCCTAGTTTGTTTTCTGACACAGAATAACCTACATAGCGAAGCAAAAGCTTCATGTGATTTATCTTGTAGCAGCTCCACTAGACTGGTCCTTGGCCAGGAGTTCAGCTCCCCCACAAACCTACAGATCTCAGGGAATCTACTGGAGGCGTCGTCCTTCCACGTCGAAGCCCTGTGCCCCTGCACTACCAGCCCTGCCAACTGCTACCTCAGACTTTCCCCAAACTAGGATCTCAAAGAAGAGAAATGGAACATGCTAAGGGTGATAGAGCCTAGGATTGTTCTGACTTTAAAGCAGATTCTCTGCTGGTATCCAGGGAAAGCTGTGGGCTTTCATCCAAGCACCCAGCCACTCATGGATCCTTGGCTACCCTGAGGACCCTTATTGGGTGACAAAGGATACTGAGGCCCTATAGGTGGTTGACACCTCTTCCATGCTCCAGAGCCAGGAATCCACTGGGATTTTATTTCATTCACCCACAGTGGGAGAGGGGGTGATGTTTCCCTCAGCAGCAATAAGGGGTTTTTAGTAGACGTTTTCATAAGGAAAATTAAGAACTGTCTTTATCCATGGTATGAAGGCGTAACCAACATGATGTCCTGACAGTCTCTCCCCCCTGAGGAACTTATCAATTTCACACTGACTGCAGTAGCTCTGGCTTTTGTTTCAGTTTTGTGATATGGTGTCTGCTCCGGAGATGAATCGCTGGGCCGGGCCTATTATCGATGTTCTCCTGGATTATGTGGGCAATGTGCAGCTCTGTGCCCGGCTAAAGGAGCACATAGACAGCTACGAGGACTGGGCAGTTGTTAAAGAGAAAGCAGGTATGACGCGGGGCTGAATTAAATTACACAAGCCAGAATCGGTACCAGGGAAGTCACATTGCTGGGGGACAGCCTGATGGTCATAAAAAGCTTCAGCCAGTCAGAAACCACCTTCTTTCACAGGTAGGATGCTCTATCATTGGATCCCTTGTGGAAAGGTAGGGTAGGTCTTTAGTGTAATTTCTACTGAACTGTATTTGGTTTCAACCTTATTACGGTCTATAAGGTTATCCCAGAAGGGTTGAATGCCATTTTGGGCCATAGTTTTAGCTAGCATAAATTTACATAGCACAATTGACTGTAATGGAGCTAAGCTGTTTTACACCAGCTGAGGATCTGACGCACTGGGTCCAAACCATCCCTGATTTCAGTGGAGACACACTAGGGATGAAAGTGCAGCATTAGGTCTATGCTCTACATCAGTCAAAATGGAGCAGGTCAATAATCCCGCCCTCCCCACTCCCGCCCCTTCCCAGACAGCCTGAAATGCAGCAGTATGATACTAAAACTTTGTACTTCTAAAGCATCTTTCATCTAAGGATCCCTAGGGGCTTCACAAACATTAATGTATTGAGTCCCACAGCACCTCGGGGAGCCAGGTAAGTAAAATAGTGGGAAACTGAGTATAATTAAGTAACTTGCCAAAAGCCACCCAGCAAGACAGTAGCAGAGTCTGAGAGGGACTGCAGGAGTCCTAACCTCTTGTCCCCTTTTTCTGCACTACACCTAAGTGCCTGGGCAGCCACGGATCCCAGTGAGACTTCACTGTTCTAGAAATAAAGAGACCCTTTTGTGTTTATCCCTCAAGCTTTCCTCTGGTTTATATTTGCATCGCCACCTTTTTGCTAAGCTGCGTTTGCATTAGGGGGTCAGCTGTAATGACAGCTGAGCTGGCAGATCCTCACGGCTGGCGTTTTGTAATGCAGGGGATTACTTGGTGACTTGGCTCATTGGCACAAGAGTTCACCCTATTCCCCCTCCAAACTTACAAATCTCCTTCTTTCCAGGGGATTCTTTCAGCCCCCCCTCTTCAGAATCCTGGGGATCCCAACCCCATTTCCCCACCCACCTGCGAGGCCTCATATTGTGCCTACCATTGTTCTGGCCAAGGAGGGCTGAGCATGGTTCCTGGTCGAGCCAGAGGGGTTGCCACAGAGCTATCTGAAGTATTTCCTCTCTTCCGCCTCACATAGTGTCTCAGCTCCCGCCAGCCTGAGAACAAGGGACATAGCTCCCAGCCCCATGTGGTGGTGCGATGCGTTAGCACATGGAGCCAGCTGCCCTCCCCCGACAGGTCTGAACCTCAAACTCCACAGGGCTGCAATGTCGGACAGACTGGATGCAGGCTGTGATTAGTGCGGGACATGTATTAAGGTGCAAACTCTCAGCTGAGCTGCATGCTGTGCAGAGGATGTACACACCATACATGGCTCACCGCACAGTTCATCCCCTTTGACTGCACTGACTCCGCTGCTGGGGGTCCTTCCTCCACAGCCCCTAATAAATGTAATGGCTCAGCATGTGAGGCACTGACCTAGCTTAATAACTCAACTGATCTGAAAATGCCCGACTAACATTTAGGTCCTGTCTCTTTTCCAGAGCCCCCCAGGCCTCTCGCTCACCTTTGCCGGATCAAGGTTCGAAACGTGATTGGGAGAAACCGCATTACACTGATTGACACTTTGCCTCTGCCGGGCAGACTGATTCGATACCTACAGTATGATTATTCACAGTGACCTCGTGCAAACCTGGTGATCAGCAGCTTCCTTGTGCAACAACCCAATTCATTAGAGAGGAGAATATTCACATGATCATGTTGAACAAACTGCATGATGGGAATGAACCTGCGTCACATGTCACACAGGATCACCCCATAGCTAATCGGTGTGCATTACAATGCTGGAAAGGGAGAGAGAAGAAACAGAGAGTGAAAGACACAGAGTGACACAGACAGGACAGACTATCCTTTGATTTTTTTTTTCCAAAAGAAAACAAGTGCTTTGGAATGTTACACACCTCAGAGATCTGTAGGGAAGGGGACAGGAACGCCAGCACTGAAAAACTAGCAGAGTCAAAGCCACGTGACATTGCGGGATTCAAAAAGGACCTGAGGGTCTTTCAGAAGTTAGAGTTCTTCAGTGCTCAGGAGTCAGTAATTGTCAAGAATCTGCATATCTAGGGAAACAATCACATTTCCCTGAATGTTATTTTGTTTTCTGTCATGTTAGACTGAGCGGTTTGCTGGTTGCTAATTCTCTGGTACCTTGACATTATCTCTCTCACCTATTTATTTTTTGTTTCCTTGGCCTTTTCACTTGATTTCCAAGCGTTCAAAACTCAGAGCTTTTGAGAAGATTTTTTCTCCCCAACAAAGACATTTTGTAAATATTGGTGCAAACCAAGAAGACTTGACTCATCCTAAACTCCTGTTAAAGTCAGTGGACATTTTATTTGAGTAAAAATACCAGGACTGAAGGATTTAGCTCACAGTAAATACTGTTTGTGGTATATTAAATGTGCATAAGAAGTAGACAGGGCTCTGGTGTAAATGAATTTCTGCAGTGAAGATCCAAAAGCAATTCTGAACTCCTTTTAACTGGTGTAAATCCGAAATAGCATCACAGAAGTCAATGGATTTTCTCCACCATAAAATTGCTGTGAGAGCAGAATCAGGCCCTGAAATTCAGGTGACAGATTTTAGTGAAGCCAAGACACTGAGCTACTGTTACTTGTAGAAGAGTCAGATTATTTCAAAATTATAAACACTGGCACTAAGATTTTCAAAAATTAGGCTCCTATGTCCTTATTTATGCATTTAAATAGTGCCAGATTATGATACACTTACACTGAACATTTATGCCACAAGTAATTTCATTGAAGTCAGTGAGCGGACTTGTGCAGTAAGGTGCTACTCAAGGAAAATTACAGTATCATAATTTGTCCCTAAGTGGCCTGAATTTCAAAAGTGCTGAGTACCTGGAAGCTCCCACTGACATCAATGGAAGCTGCTAGATTTCAGCCCCTTTGAAAATCAAATCACTTATTTGGCACCTATATAAGGATTTACATTAGACCCCTATCTTTGCCAATCTGGGGGGAGGGATAGCTCAGTGGTTTGAGCATTGGCCTGCTAAATCCAGGGTTATGAGTTCAATCCTTGAGGGGGCTACTTGGGGATCTGGGGCAACATCAGTACTTGGTCCTGCTAGTGAAGACAGGGGGCTGGACTCAATGACCTTTCAAGGTCCCTTCCCATTCTAGGAGATGGGATATCTCCATTTATTTCTAATCTTGGCCTAGAAATACACAGGATCTTCACCCTCTTATTGTAAACACAAAAGGAGTTTTGGGCTTCAGTCTGATTTGGATTCATACCAGAGATTATCTGCACGTCCAACCATACATACATTAGGTATGGTTTTGTGTGTTGACCTGCCCACCAGATACTGATTCAGACAGAAATCTAAGCAAAGCAGGAGAAATACAGTTATTCGTGACAAACGGGGCTGCATTGCACAAAGGTTTCTTCTTGTAGACTTGTACACCTGACCACAAAACTATAAGTGTATTGCATGCATGCATGTCTGCTTTTGCCCAAAGTTTGGGGTGAAATTCCGCAAGCGCTGGAAGGTATGGGATGTAAGCATCAGTAGCAACAACTGCAGCTAATTGCACCTGTGTGTTGACTGTTCCCTTCCAAAATGCAATGGCAGTTGAGAAACCAACGCCGTTTCAATTCAGATTGAGCTGTGATCCTCTAGCAGAGCTGTGAAGAAAGTGATTAGTGCCTGGCCAGCTCCTCAGCTAGTGAAAATGGGGAAAGCCCCACCCATTGTCTTCATTTACTCCCGCTGATGTTCTGGCCCCTCATTCTCAGGTCTAACAATGAGGCTGACCATTTTTCCTCCTCCGGTGGGTATCTCCTGCTTTGGTGAACTACACTCCAGACACTCTGTCAGGGTTGAAAGGGAGATGAAGGACAGAAGAGATGCCAAACAGCAGGCTATTTCCCATTCTAAAAACAATAATGGGCCAGATCCTGCAAGATGCTGAGCAGCTCGATATAGCAACCTCAGAAGGAAAATAATTCAGAACAGGCACCTGCTCTGCAGCTAGCGTAAATGGGCACAGCACCCATTGCTCCAGTGGAGTAGCACCCATTTATACCAGCTCGGATCCAGCCTTTGGTGTTTGCAAACCGTTTGCTGGAGGGAGCTCTGAAAATCACCCCTGCTGTCTGGTAACTCATTCCAGCAGCACGGCGCTTCAGAGAATTTGTACATAATTCTAAGAAAACAATTTTTGACACCACTTGAAACTCCCCAAATTTCCCCCTTTCAATAATGCACCATAATTTGCCAAAAAACAAACATACAATAATTAGAAAAAGACCCAAGCTGGGAGCCCTCCTTGTGAGCCCAGGCATATTACTGCTGGCCTGAAAGGAAGCCCTAGGGCTGCTCAGACACAGCCTTGCTTTTGAATATTTAGCATGAACATCCTAGATGAACAGATTCATGGCCTGTCCATACAGCCCTGACTTATCCTGGGGAACACTTACTTCACTGAAGAGACTAATGCCTGTGAATAAAGTGCACACCCCATGTGAAAGGATTCCACAGGCCAGCTCCAGTAGTCCTAACAGTAGTGTGTGAACTAAGTAGCTTTTGATATACAGAAAAATCACCTAGTTAGCTGGCATAGCTCACACCTCTGTGGGTTGAGCGTGGAGGGCCTGGTTCTTGCTTACTTCCATTATTGTAAATCAGGGGCAACTCCCCTGAAATTAAACCAGTGTCACAGGCTAGAATCAGACTGAGTTGCAAACAGATATTGATACTGAAACCCGGCATGGTGGAGATGGTTTACCTAAATATCTATTTGTTGTATAATCAGATTATCTGAGGCCACCTTTCTGATGGAATGATTTGAACTCACAAACCGTGTACATAGAGTAGTGCTGGGATTTCAGAAGCAATCCAAAGCTGTGGAATACTCTGGAGAGGAAACCTTTACATATGCAAAATGATCATGGGATGCAGGGTTGTTCTGTTTTGTTGAACCTGGAAAAACTGAAACTGGGTATGGGTTGAGCAAAAGACGTATTACTCCTTAATTGGATACCTACAGGCCTGATTGCTCTATCATATTTGTATCGGTCAGGCGTACCGCCACTGAAATCAATAGAGCTACCCTGGTATAAAATTAGTACAAGCGAGAGCAGACTCAGGCCCATACTGTGCACATAAACTGAGGAGAGATCACTCCATTGAAGATTTGACCTGGCACTCGCGATATCACTTTATCCTTTCTGCTTGACCCTCACTGCCAGCCTTTCCACAGTTGATTTACATTTATTTGCACTAAAACAGGGCAGGCTACCTCTCTCACACCTGATGTCCTGAATCTGTACAAACTCTCTTTTCATTTATAACAATGAATACAGCTGTATAGAAGTCATTGTGAAATTGAAAAAATACTTCGGAGCCAAGGCTTTGGAACCAGTTCAGTAGTTCCAATATGCAGTAAAATGGTATATTTTTATGCATCAGGACAGACATCTTCAGTGATGAGAAGTGTTGTCAGCTTTTCCAGGAATACTAAATGGCCAGAATACTGTACTTTTTTATTGCAACATGTGCAATTCACTTTATGTTCTTGTGCACTTTTTTGTACAAAAGCTTTTTCAATTGTTTTATTATTTTTTGCCGTTATTTATAAAATATAGTGTGGGTTTAATATTTTACATTTGCATTATGTTTTAGCAAATGGTGGCTTTCCAGTGTTATGTTTTTCAGCTTCTAAACAAAATGCAAATAAACTAACATTCTAAAATGTTACCTGCTGCTCTGAGGCCCTAGACAAAGAGGTATCTGGGGAAAGTTTGAACCAATCAAAGCAGAAATAAGTAATAATCTAAACAGTAGTCACAGGAAGAGGAGACTTGTATTGCTGAGGAGAGGTTGTAGCTCCCCAGAAGACTTAAGAAGAATGTCTCACACAAACCTCTTCAGTTACTTCAGCTACATGTAATGATGTCATTCGAGTTCTGGAGCACTGCTGCTTCACTTCTTAGAATACACCAGAATTCCATGAAAGGTCCCAGCCCTGGAACTAGAACCATCCAGAAAGTGGGATTTCCGTCTGGCTTCGTTACAAATTTGGCTTCTGAAATTTGGCTTCGTTCCAAACTTGCAAAGAAAAAATTACAAAAAAAAAAAGAATGATAGAAATGTTTCATTTGACATTTTGTTCCAATTTTGACTTTCTAGAGTTATCGTATTATAGTGCTAGCCATGATCCTACAAAATGAAAACTTCTAAATGAAAAGTCACTTAAAAAAAAAAACAGAAGTGGTTTGACGTCAGAACTCTCCCTCTCCCTCCCCCACCCCATTTTCCTCTGAAATGACATTGACCCAGTTTCATGAAGTGTTTTCATTTTGATGGAACCATACATTCTGAAGTGGTTCCAGAGAGCCAGGTGCTGATCCCAGTCATCCTGCCTGCTGGCAGCCTGGCAGAACTCCAGTGAAGCCACTCTGTGTTCACACAGTTGTGACTGCGTTCAGCATCTGGCCCATTGGTTTCAGTCCGACTACAAGTGTGAGTAAGGGCCACTCATGTGAGAAAGAGCTGCAGGAACCCCTTGTCTGGCGCTCTGCAGTTTGCCTCTCTTGCGCCCATTTCTCCTCCTAAGAGGAAGTTTTGCATTTCACTTCAATGGCTGCAGGATCAGGGACACTGCCTCTTCATGGAGTCTTTTCTGAAGACAAGGAGGAGGTATTGAAGTATGATAGAGGAGCCAGACCCACACTTCCATGCTGGCCCCCAAGACTCTATGGATCTGATTCTTCTGAACCTTATGCTATTATTTACAACTATGCAAAGCTGGTAAAATGCTACCAGATCAGACAATCATGTTGTATAATGCCTTATTGCACAGGTGTTAATGACTGCACAAGGAGAAGGAAGTTAAGACTCAAGCCTGGTTCATCTTTCATGCTGTTGCTTTTAGACTACAGGAATAACCCACTGTGGCTTCACTTCTGCATAAGCTACTCTCAGGGTTATGATTGAGATGGCTGGGAAAAATGGCCCCACTGGCCAGAGAATTATCTGCGTGCCCTTAATAAAAGTTGCAGGCAGTATACAAGGCCAGACCCTCAGCTGATGCATATGGTCTGATTCTCCTGTCACTTTTATACAGTGTAGCTCTATTGATCTCAGTGATTTACACCACTAAGCGACTGGAGAATCAGGTCCATAATATTTAATCATAAGTCTCCGGTCCTATTTGTTTAGCATCATTTCTTTGTAGGCTTTAGAGAAGTTTAACAAAACACTCCTTTTAATCTATCAGAAGTGATTTCATCACGCATGACCAGCTTTGCAAGTGAATAACTTGCAAACTACTAGGGTACTTATTTATCTGCAGCTTTCCATCTTAGAATCAGGGCATGTCTACACTTAAACCACTTCTTCTGTTCACCTCGTGCTGTCTACACTCGGGGTTAGGTCAGCATAGCTACGTTGCTCGGGGGTGTGGATCACCCCTGAGCAGTGTAGCCAGGCCAATGTAAGCGCCTAGTGTAGACCAGTCCTCAGGCAGAGTAGAGAATTGTCCCTGGGACGCTCATTGCCTTGATCAACTGAGGCTTGGTCTACACCTAAAACATAGGTCAATCTAGTTATGTCGCTAAGGAGTGTGAAAAATTAACCCTCCCCCCGTGATACATAGTTAAGCCAAACTAAGCCCCCTGTAGACACCTTTAGGTCAATGGAAGAATTCTTCTGTCAACCTGGATGCTGCTTCTTGGAGGGGGGGATTTATGACAGCCATGAGAGAAGCCCTTCAGACACTGTAATAAAGTGTCTACACTACAGTGCTGCAGCTGGACCACTGTAGCATTTCTGGTGCAGACATACCCTGAGGCTTTAGTGCCAATGTGTTCACACTCCGATCCTCTCTCTTATATCACTGGTTTTGCACTTACATGTTCAAATGCTGCTAAACCATTTCCAGTCTATTCTCTTAGTTGTCACAGGGCAGGTCTGCTCTCATTCACACCAGTTTTAAACTGGCTAATTTCATAGCCTTCAGTGGAGCTATTCCTGATTTACACCACTGTGAACAATTAGAGAATCAGGCCCTCATTTCTGAATGACAACACCTTTACATACTGAACTTGAATCTACTGGGAGGACAATAAACATGCAATCTGAACATATTCGAGATGTGGAGACAAATAAAATTACCTGCTTTATTTTTTTTTAAACTCTCTTGATATTTACACAAGAGAAGAGCTGAAATCGACTTACAAACTTATCTTCTGCATTAAATACTGTCCTATCGGTAAAAGAAAGTGACCTGAAAACCTTAACTGATTTCTTTAGAATGACTTTAAAGTACAAGAGATATTATCAGTTTAATCTCATTGCTGCTGCTGGTGCAGAGCGTCCCCATAAAGACATTCCCATATGGAAAAGGTCTCGTAGGGGTTACAAGTGCAGATTCCAAATGGTTCTTAGCCTGACACCCTGGGTCAAACAATTATCTTAAATACAAGAGGCCCAGTTCTCCTGACATTTAACTGCACTGGCTTCAGTAAGAGTTATTCCTGATTTATACCAGTGCAGTGAGGGGAGACTGACACCCAAAAGTATTCACAACCACTATTTAAGTCAGCCAGCTTGTGCCTTTCCGATTAAAGGAGCAGCCTGTAATAGCTACCCGTCTATAGACAGATGGAAATGATAGCAGATTCTTTCCCTAAGAATTGCTCCATAGTGTGACTGGCTGATGGGCCAATGGCTGAAGTTACATTTCAATTTCATTTGAAAGAGCTACCTTACACAGCACAAAATCCCCTCCCTTCCCTCAGGCTAAATGTATCCAAACACATTGAAAATAGGAGGTGGCACTGCCGGCTTGGTAGGGATGGGTTTCAAAACCACTGGTCTGTATAGTTTCTGCCCCATATTGCCCGCCTCCTTGCAGAAGTGTTGGATCTCCCCTGCGGGTGCTGTGCTTTTCCTCCATAGCCCCAGGCCTGGAAAGGGTGAT